CGCTGTGACATGACGACGAGAGGCGGGATTTCCGAGCGGCCCCTGAAGGCGGCATCAGTCTCCTGGATCCTGGGTGTGTGCAGTCAGTTGAGCTCAGAGACTGACAGAGAAAACACCAGGAACATCTCAACGTGAGTCCAGCTGTGCCTGTCATCTGTCACCGTGTTCGTTAGTCCTTCTCCAGCGGACGGACTGAGAATGGGAAACTACCCGAGCTAGTTTCTGAAGAGGACACGAATCCAAGAGGGGGGAACTGTGCTAAAAAAACTACCAGGTTAGTTAGCTCCCCATAGCCTCTCGCTGCCAAGCTTTATTCGCAACTAGTTAAGTCAGTCGCCTCATCCTTTAGCTAACTAGTGGCCGCTAGCACCTGTAGTTGACTCGTTTCACGCGTGGAAGTGGCGTGGATCTGTTCGAGCCATTTAGCGGTTGTCAGCCTTGTTAGCAAGCTAGCTTTTCCTAATTGCATGCCATCGGTTAGCTATGCAGATTGTCACTACACAGCTAGCCGGCTAACGTTAGCAGCTGAGGTTAGCTAAAGGAGGTCAGTGTGTGGGGTTCGCTGATGCTGAACCACATTTACTGTGATATTGTGTCAGCACCACAAACCACTTTGATTACGCACTATTTTGTAGGGATGCATTGTTGCTTTATGCTACATTTCATAGCTTCAACCTGCTCAGTATTTTTTGTGTAGCTCCTATGCATACCAGGGTGAACAGTTTATATCTGTATTTATTACCTGTTTATGAAGCCACTCACTTTGTTTTACATGCATGGCTCTTTTATGATAGTCTAAATGAGATGTGCATCTTTAACCTGACATAGTTCCTGTCTTGTAGTGGTTTTGGGAGGAATTCATTCCACCTTGTAAACCTTGTGTGTACAATTAGAATGACAATAAAGTTTTCCTCGACTTTGCTTTGGAAACTGGATCACTCTAGCTGCAGGTTAAGGTTCAAGAGGCAGGCTGGAAGAAAACTGCCACTCCTGCCTCTTTCACACCACATGTCATTGAACGAGTGGTGGTAAACTTGTGTCGTGACGCCAACATCATCTTCTTGTTCCCTCCAGGTTGAGCCTTCAGTCGCACCATTTCCCTCCAGAGAAGGAACAGGAGCACGGTGGAGATGCAGACGTTCCTGAAAGGCCGGAGAGTCGGCTACTGGCTCAGCGAGAAGAAGATGAAGAAGCTGAATTTCCAGGCCTTCGCTGATTTGTGCAGGTATGTGGTATCAGTATGTTGTGTGGCAAAGTGACTGTAGGACGCCCAACAGAAACATCCACACTGTACGCCCACATCATTAACAATTTATGCTGCAGTGAATAAAGAGTGGCATTGACAGACAGTAAACTTCCTCTTAAGGACTCGGGGACAAAAGGGACTGATCATCACCTCTTCTACTCTTACAGGGAATACCCCATTTGCACTCTTCACTTAAACTTTCACTTTCATACTTACAGTCTGAATCAGCGACTTTCCCCGATCATGTCTGTTCAGTGTTTTAGCCTCCCCCCCTGCTACTCTGCTTCTCTTCTCTCTGCAGCCATTTCTTTTTCCAAATAGTACAAATAAATGCCCCGCGGAAAGGTGGCACAAGTCGGTTTTGTTTGTTATGTCTCGACTCGTGCTTGTTGAGACACGGTGCATGAAGGGAATGTGTGGAGGTAGGACAATGATCGTGGCCAAAGGTGCTTGTGTAACAGGACAAGCAGCTAAAACAAGTAGTATGATTTTGTCAATTGTCCTGGAGCTTGGAAATTTACCACACAGTCAGCGTGTGGACTGACAAAGTAAATCTAGAGCATAACATATGTTCCTAACCTGTGACACTATCTGTTATCGCTTGTGGTTGTGCGATATCACTGAGATTAGTCTTGGAGTCAGTCGTTTGTCTCTACTTGTGATGTTGACATTTTATTTATCTACAGAAAATAGACCTGTCTGTCCCAGTGCATAGTCATAACAATGTGTTTTTTTTGCACCCAGCCTTGGGATAAGCAACTGTCCGAATGTTACACGCATATTATCTTGTTATAGATTATCCACGTCTGGCAGAGTAAATGTTATATAAGCCGCTGTAAAGACGGGCCTGTGTTTTCTTAGCACGCCTAAATTCGTGGGATGAAGTGAACTCTCCCTCACTGATTTACAATGGCTGCGAGACGGTATATTGGACCGAGGAAGGGTTTCAGGGTATGGCAGCAGCCTTATCATCTCTCATTGCAACATTGCATTGCGGTTCACCTGCGAACACGAGCGTTTAAAAAATGACAGAGAAAATGGAGGAAACATTTCAGAGTCTCCACTTGTTTGATTTAGCAGGAATGCGCCTCAGTAGCTCAGGTATGTTGACGGTGTTTGAAGGATTTTCACCTTTTCCAACACGCTTGTTGCTTCACAAAGCGACCTGATTGAGCCAGCGCAGATTATCACACTGTAATCCACAAAACATTTTTAATCTCCTCATAAACCTCCAAGCAACACCCCCCCCACCACCACCGCCTCGTCCCTCCCCTGCCTGCATCCTGCTCACCCCCCTTCGTCCCTCGGAGCCGGGCTGAGGCCTGTTTAGCATGAAGGGTGGGGACCTGGTGTTTGTGACAGAAGATCAGAAAGATCAAGTCACATCAATAGCCTTTAACAACAGAAACAAATGACACATTTGAATGACAAAGAGCCACAAAGTGAGCGTAGGTGTATCGTGTATGCGATCACCGCATGACTGCTTTTTTTAACTCGCCGTCAAGTTCTCCTTTTCTCTATATATTTCCCCGGTCATATATAGCATGTTAGAAATCAAAAGTCATCGTCAGGAGGAAGGAAATTGTAGAACTTAGATAGTCTTCCAATGTTTGGCTCCAGTATGTATGTTGCCCCCCTGAGGAGTCATGCTGTTGTCTGTTAGTGAAGCCTCAAGCCATGTTTCATGTTAAAATCATTCAATCACTCTTTGAATTTCATTGCATTCACTACAGTATTTACTTCTCGGATAGATACGTGTAGGTTTTAGAATTGTTTGGCTTTATTGTCTGAGCTGAACCGTGTCAGCATTATATTCAAACAGGTTCATTTCCCCTGCCATCATGTGGCACGCAGCTGCCATTGTGAGTGTGTCTTTGAGGAGCGTGTCCTGTCTCGTGCAGCTGGACTTAAGGGGTTCCTGCTGGTCGGAGTCACTTGGTTTTCTGTCGGTCTCACATAAGCTTGCGCAGCAGTTCGGAGGCTTCTCGACGATTCACGTATTCCTGATTTGGAAAAAAAAACAAAAAACGCGATGCCCTTGAGAACAGCCAGCCACAGCGTCATAGGATAATATGAAAATACTGTCACCCCGTCCTGTCGAGGCGAGGCCACCGCGTGCTACGACAAGCCTAATGAGATCACACTGAGCAATGCCACATGTGTGCTCGCATGCAGTAATAGGAAGACTGAGATTATTTAAAAACCTGCGACAAGCATCACTCTAAAAGCTTTAGCATGTAAAAATTGCATTGGATTCATTTTTATTATCTGGTTCACCTACTTTTTTTATATCTGGTCAATGTTATCCAACACTAAATGCTCCATCAATTAATTGTGTTTTGAAATAATCGCTATAGTTACTCGGAACGATCCCGAGCCACTCCTTAAATAATTGTTCCCTGTTGTGCTCTCCTGCTATCGTTCTGCTTTATCAGTAGGTCGGTGCAATCTCAAATACACCCAGTCGTAAACTACAGGTTAGATACCGCTGGAGACATCGATGGTCAAGTCAAGTCAAATAGTCTTTATTGCCAAGTCAGCCACAGACAGAGTACACAGCGGGACAAAACTCTCCAGGACCATGCAAACAGACAAAAATTTGGTGCAAAGAACCACATATGGTGCAACTCCACCAAACAGTGAGCAACAGATCGATCAAACAGCAGACACGTGGCGATAACTTTATGTTCAGTGACTATTTCTGTGCGTGTATTTATAAATACACAAATTAAGGTGTGTGGCTATAATTCTATCGCTTCATAATAGATGGAGGAAGATGCTTATTATGCGTGTGTGTGTGTAAAACAGGCTAGTTCGTGTCACGGTTAAAGCAGATTACAACTTTTTAAAGTTTAGAAAATGTTAAATCTTTAATGTAGCCCTTTGAGATTTCGTTGAATTAAAAAGTGCATTACAAATAAAATTTATTATTATTAAAAAGGAAATAACATTTGTTTCTCACATGCACCACCTTTACTTGTACTCAGTGCCCATAAATACTGAAATTCAGTGTTCGGATTTATGAATGTATATATAATTTATGTGCTATGGATGCATGATGATATCGGCATCATCATCTGTCTACCGATAAAGGCAGAAAATTCCTGTCTTTTTAAAAACATTTACAAATCAATGCAGGTTTTAAATGAAAGTAAAAGTAATTTTCATATTTTGCCCATTCTGAAAAATGCATTTTATGTCTGCTGAGCCACCGTGATGAGAGCTGGCACAACAATATGCTAATTCAGCTGCAGGACAATCGGCCAGAACGAGTTGGAGAACGTTCTCATGTCGTGCATCCCCGCTGTGTGCCGGTATGAAATGGTGCAATAGAAAAGTCTCTTGTTTTTCAGCGCACCTCCGTGTTCTTGTGTGTCAAAGCGATTCATAAAGTTCTGGCTCTGGCCTGCTTCTCTGGTTCGGTCTTCTTCCTTCATCCTTTTCTCTCTGCTGGCTCTGTAACAATGTGGGAGAGCAGACGATCTCCATATCTGAGATGGGACGAAACTAAAGGCCCCATTCACTTCACATGAAACGCGGCAGCTGCAGTATTAAATATCCACGTTGTTGTGAAGCGGTGAATGGCTGCACTGCTGTTACCATGGGGCTGTAACCTCAAAAACAACTGGGCTGCTCGGCCTGAGTTAGTGGTATTGCTAGACAGGTTTTGTTCTCATTGTAAATTCAGCCCAACTAGGAGCTGGTTGTTTTGGCCATTCAAGGTTTTTTTTTTTACTGAATTCTTTTGGCTAACTTGTGGAATCGAGCTAGAGAGAGGACTCTTTCCATCAGGATTGTGTAAACGCCGTCTCCTCCGCGCTCTGTTTGGGCATTTGTTTTTCCCCTCAGTGGAAAGGTTGGGACCACTGTAAACCCAGCAGGTTTAAACATGCGAGAGGCCGTCTCTGTGCCTCAGAAAAAAAAGAAACTCTCAAATGGAGAAGTCCTTGCATGCTCACATTTATGCACAAATCGTCAGTTGCTCTAACGCTGCTGTGTGCCGTCAGAGATGAGGAGGAGAGGAGATGTGTCCAGACAAGAGTGGAGGTCTGAACCACACTCCCGTCTGGGTCGGCCGTTACGAAATGACTGATTTCAGCTAAAATAATACCGTTTCTGTTTCTGTTGCTGGGAAGTTTTCTCCAAACTCTGCAGGGGGATATCAGTCATAATGATCATACTTTCCCATGCTGCTATCAGACAAATTTACTTTAATTTTAAGATAATCTTTCATTCATTTTCGACGTCTAGATGCAGACGGGCTGATATGTGAGACGCTCACACATCCTGCTATTGACGTAGTGAAACAGTTGATGGCTTTCTGTTTATTACCTCATATGGAGAGGAAGTGTTGTGATGTTAATTTACATAATGAGTTAAAGGAACCTTCCTAATATAAAGGAAGAAATCTCATGAGGGGAAAAAAAAGGGTTTTCCAGAGTTTAGTTGTCATAATATGAAACCAAAAACTAAATGTAGTGAATGAGAGGGTGCTCTTCTGTCACTTTTGCTTCGTATCGCATAGCTTTCTGTTGTTTTTTTTTCCTTTACAGCCTTTCAGTTTCTTCAAATCTTCTCTTCATCTCAATCTCTGAGCCTGTAGATGAACCAGAAAGAAAGACAGCACAGACCTCTTGCAGAACCTGACGTACATTTACATTATCATCTTCTGCCCCTTTGATGCATTGCAATGCCTGTTAATAATGCTGGTGAATATTCAGTTTATTTCCAATGAAATAAAGACTCTTTCTTTTCTTCTTTTTCAGGAAAAGAGGGATCGAAGTTGTTCAGGTAAGCAGGCTACGTGCTTCTGTCTCATGTCTTGTTTTATATTTATATTTGCTTCTTTGAAATCAAACCCACTTCCATTTTTCATACTTCCAGTGTGAACTCTGGTGAGTTTCTAACCTCCTACATACGTGATGCGGTTGCTTCACAGTCTTGCTATTTTCTGTCTGTAAGTGTCATCAGTCACAGTGTACCAGAGCGGCCCGTGTTCATTGTTAAGCCGTGATACAACTCATTCCGACGCGATATTTCGACACCTGACCTCGACTCTGTTAATGCGGTTATATGTCAGAAGCATCTCCTTGGAGCGGTTACTCATTTAGTGAGAGGGTTGAAACATTCAGGAGCTCCTCGGTCGTCGTCATCCACACCAACAGCAATATTTTTTATAAGATAAAATTGCCTAAACATTTGGAGCTCTTTACAGGTTGCTAAATGCAGTCACTGTAACGTGCCAAAAGAAACAGTGGTCTGTCGTTGGTAATTGCTGAGCTGTAGTCAGGGTGCTGAGTTACACTCTGGTTAATACAGGCCCTGGGGAGGTAAAGGCTGCTGCCATTAATGGATATTGCACAGTGTATACCACACTGAGTAAGTAAACACTGCACATACAGAAGCACAGTAACTAAGTCCTGGGAGCTCAGTGCAGAAAAGTATCTGTCAGTACGAGCGCTGTCTGCAATTGAGGAGGAAATTATCCTGCCTTTTCTCAGTCTCTTACGCTGTGTTCTTTCCTTTCTTCTTGGTGGACCTGTTTTTTTTCCCTTCACTTCGGGGGTTATTTTTTTCCTCTCTCCTTGTGCTGAAGTTATCAGCACACCCAGAAAGGCTCTTGTCCTGGGAATAGTCCCAAAGTAAGCAGGGCTTTGTGTCCCACTATGCATTCAGCCTGTCCTGGGGGACCTCGCAGACCCTCGGCTCCCAGTTCCCGGGGGCTCGGAGCAGCGCTGCGGCCTTCCCCGTTTCTCTTTTTCCACGACTACCTGTTGTCCACGGAATTTTGTCCTCCTACGAATCAGCATAAACTCTTTATTTTTAGCTGGGCTGTCGCCGCCAATCGAGACAGCTCAGTTTACTCACACACCCAGAGGTGTTTCGAGTCCACACCAGTGAATCGGCTGCCTGAGATGCACCCAGTGCCAGTCAGCGCCCGGGCTGTCACGGCCACATCAGACGCAAAGATAATGGGAGCCATTGTCGTGCTTTCGCCTTGTCGTACAAGTCTTTGTACAAAGATGTCTTCTCCGATTGCACTACTTGAATTCTGAGCCGCCCCTAGACCTTCCTCGAGACTGCTCAGTGACACGATTTCTAATGCCCGATGACGTATTTGAAGCCCCGTTGTTATACATGTTCGTCTCTATGCGTTCTGCTTGAATTAATGTCACGCTGTCGGTGTATTTTAAGCATAATCTTTCTGCCAAAGCTTTGAGATAAAGAAGCAAGCAAATAAAATAATCATAACAAAAAAGTGTGATGTCGGGTCAGAGACGGCGATAACAAGAGCGATGTGGAGAGATGGAAGCATCAGGAGGTCATGGAAAGGCTGCTGGAGGTTGTGGTACATTATACAGAAAATGTTTAGAGATAAGGCCGTGTTTATGTTTTATTAATTTGGGTTGTTTTAAGCTGTAAGGACGGACGGGAGTGGAGCTGTTATGTGGATACTGAGTCCATTTAACCTTCTCCAGAAGGTCGAAGTGGAATATAGCTGGAGATTTATCTCTTTGAGCCAGTTTAATCACCTAACCTTGTCCCGGTGGTCTAGTCTGCGGGCTAGCTGACCCTGGTGATAGCAACCCAACCCTGGATATCCAAGGATAAGTGAACGCTTCTGGCCAAATAAACCATTAATTCATGTTGTTTACGGCCTTTTAACGAGATGATTCACGGAGTTGTTGTGTGTTGGAGCCGCACATTCGCTGGAACGGAGCAGAAACCATCAACTGATTAGTCAATGAGCAGAACATTTATCTGTAAATGTTTTGATAATCAAAGTTTCAGATGAATTTCAAAGTTGGTTTTAGCTGCTCAGTTATAAACAGATTAAGTGATGATGTAAATAATTGTTTGTTTCAGACACACAATCTACTAAAACAAAAAGAAACTGAAGCGACATGCGTATAATTGACGCTGCAGTCGAACATGTGGTATATATGGTATTTGTCACAGGAGGGTAATCCTTCAGGGAGTTGGCAATGGTTATGGCGTCACCCTGTGTGAACAGATCTTTGCTAAATCCGGCAGCCCCAGGGACTTAATTTTATATTTCCATTTCTAGTGTGGGAAAAACATCCACATGTATACGACCCCTCAGGACTCACGCAACTCACAAAGAAGATTCTTTTGTTTGACTTCTGTGATGGCTCCTTTAGGCCTTGCTTGGTTTGGTTTTCTTGCTTTAAGCAGCTCATTACACTCACCGACTTTTCACCCTTCCATCCTCCACACGGTTTTGCAGCCCGTCGATACTGACCCCTCAGCCCTGAGCTCATGGGAGCCGTCCTCCCAGCGCTCCGTACATTAGCTTGTCTGGATCACAGATCTGATGAGATTAACTCACCAGGCTCGTTCTTTAGGAAAAACTCATCCCAGCAGACGGTCATTGTTTCAGTCGGCTGTCATAAGAAAGTTGTTGTTTTTATTGTATGGTGAGTGCTTCACAATTTAATTTCCAGCATACCAATATATCTCCCCCACATACTGAGTTTGTGGAAGCTGACGAACAAAAGATTGTGAAGAGAAGGTCTTTATTGATCCTCCAGTGCACCGTGACCTGAGGATGGCTCGTTCATAACCATTATTGGTAATTAGCATCTAGTAGCATAAAAAATCTGTAATGCACAGAAAGCTTCATCTGAGATTTGCAAATCATTACTTCATCCATTTTATCCTTTTTTAAAGCATTACTTGTGATTATATTGACTAGTTTACAGCTTGAAGGATTGCGTGGGCGAGCAGAGCAGGATGTCAGGGTGGGGATGGTGATGAATGACATCTTCCACAGTCTGACTAAGATGGACTGTACAGTAACTCCATTACCTCATTAAAAACCTTCAGCCCTTCTCAATAGTCTTGTTATGTAGGGTTATTCCTCCATCAGGCTTACAACTACTATGACAGCATTCTTTTTGTTCCTGCATGACTCATGTCCACCTGTTAAGAGGAGTGTTCTAAAAATATTCTCAAACTACCTGCGGAGCCAGTTTAGCCACTGATACTAAATAATGGTTAACCTTTACTGAGAGTATTCATGTTGGTCCTGAGCTAAAATGTTGTTGCCTCACAAGGTTTTTGTTGCACAACACAGTCAGCAGAGAGAGAAGTCTTATTACTCAGTGGACTCAGGGATGCTGAGGAGTCGGCCATTAGCCTAATGAGCTCCCAGTTTGACCCTCCATATGGTTTTTTGGCTGGGGATTCGCCTTCAGGTTGGTTCCCTCCCATGTTTAGTTTTGTTTTTCACGTGAGGTGTGGCCAGCAGCCACAGTTTGTCTCGACACATATGCTTCTTTTACACGCTGGGGTGTCAGTTGCCACACGGCGTACAGAATAAATCATTCATCACATGTCTGTCTGCGCTCCGCACGCTGTCTCTCTGGGCTAGCCTGACAACAAAGCAGGATCCAGGTGAGATTAGGGGCAGCGAGAAAGAGGCATCGAACAGATAAAACAGATGCTTAGACAAATAAATGATCCAAAAAATCCTTCATACAGTTTGTGTTCAGTGCACCTGTTGAAAAGTGAAGTGCCCCGTGATGTCTGTCCTCACTGTGAGCTCAGAGTCTCCATTGTTGGTTTCCCTTGGGGTTGAGCTTGGCCACACAGAAAAGCTACATCAAAGCTGAAAATATTTTGGCCCCGGCCTCCCCTCTCCCACCAGGATCCGTCGTGTTTTCTATGCTGTCCGTCACTACCACGGCCCGCTGCTAGCTCTCGGTCCCAGAGGGACTTGCAAAGACGTCAGCTGACATTTCTGCTTTTAGCATTTAGCAGGACATCAGCGACTACACCGCTGGGTTTTGGGACGAGCTCTGCAGCAGGGTCATTCTGTCTGCGCACAGGGAGACCAGAGTTTCATCCTCTGCGATGTGTCTTTGCCAGTGGGTGTTGACCCCCACGATGCAGAGTCCTGTTTTTGTGGAGAGGCCAGACTGTGGATGGGCCCTCTGTGTTGTGTAAGCAAGAGATTAAAAGCAGTGCCTCAGCGGAGTACGGACAATTTCCCGTCCAGCAGGCCCTGTCACACCGACACTGCTAGCTAGACAGAAAACAGAAGTACGTCATGCTGCTGCTGCTGCTGCTGCTGCTGCTGTCATCACTGCTGCTCACGGCAGCTCGCGTTAAAGCCCCAGAAGTAGTTTGTCCACAGGTGACAACACATTTTATGATTATGACTTGGTAACACAGTGCTGCTGAGGCCCCGGCTCCATGCTCGTGTGTTTTATGCTTCTGCCATATGCTTCTTGTATGTGTCTGTCAGCCATATGTTTCCTGCTTAACCTGCTGGATCAGTCAGACACCGGGACACTAAAACCTGTTTTTGAACCTGGGTTTTGTTTTTTTTCTTAGATCTAATTAATTGTTGTAAAATATCCAAAGAATAGCCACTTGTTCTTCTGTTAGCATTACTGTATATCACATCCTGAAAGTGGATGTTGAGTATCCCTGATTATCTGATATCGTTGTATCCAAAATGCTATAAATACCCAGTAGCTTCTGCTGCTAAAGGACTTTAAAGTAAAAGATTTTGGAGATACCTATAGTATATACAACCTGATCATATAAATCTGAGATTTTGTGACACAGTAAGATATCAACTCTAACATTTCTTGGGCAATTCTGAGAACATTTTTGCTGGATGCTAAATAACAATTTCTCAACTTTATACCCTTTTCCCCCACTAGAATTGTTTTTATCCTGATATATATCAACATAGTAAAATAAAACAATACCAGTATGTTTTTTTAGCTGTGTTCCCAACCCTCCAAAACACTATTTCATGCACCGACAGTAAATCTGAAAATGCAGCCGATGTATCAGCAAACCTTCAACAGTCACAGACTATGATTCAGCTTCACTGCTTTGTGTACATTTTTGCAGCCGGTGCTGGTGTGTTGCTCTGAGCTGAAGGGCGTGTTCCTACAGGCAGGAGGAATGGAGTGTGCCGGAGAATGAGATCCAGCAGCATTAAGATGGGCAGAGAAAGAAATGCCATGTTGATGTAGTATAATGAGCTCTTAGGGGAATGCAGTCTGGCTTGAGCGCTGCCGTTCCTTTACATGTTGAAGTAGTGGCGTCGGACCGTATGCTGAGCCGTATAGCTGCTCGACAATGAAACAAACTCTCATATTTCACGCCAGACGGAGATGAGAACATTTACTCGCTGTCAAAACAAACGCGTTGACTCGAGTCGGGGCTGCAGCTGAGTGTGCTGCCCTGTGCGACGTGCAGATCAACTGATATTTAACAGATTTCTTGTGCAGCCGACTTTCCAAGGTTAAACCAAGGGCTCTCTAATTAGTCATCCATCCGTCGCACCTCACAATGATTAACCAGGAAACGCTGGCTGTAACTGCGACCAACCCTAAACCAACTGAAACTCTGTACAGTTTTACGGTTCTCGCCATCGATCTCGACCTACACCTGTGTGACTAAGGTGTATCTGCTCTCGGTTTGTCTGGACAGCACAAAGGACAAAGCCAGCCTCGGGGTTGTTTGTACAGGTGTTGCTGAATTGTCAGTTGTGATCAGGTGATGCCCATTTACTGATTAGCCAATGAGTTAATGCACGGCGGTGTTACGCAACGGCAGCACCGCATCCAATGCAGACTGCTCTTTTTGACACTGCCTTCTCAGTACGATGTCCATATGCTTGCTGTTGTTGTGCAGATCCTTAAGCTCATATTGTCATTTTACACATTCAAGGAGTGATAGCGCGTAAAATTATTTGTCACAGCGTTCGTCTTTGTTTAATGAGATGCACTAAGACTGCCAGGAAATACGTTGTCGAGGGTCTAGGCATAGATTTCTGTTGATGAGTGATTATTTAGTCTTCTTTATCCGTCTCTCTCACAACCCTATCTCTGAAATTCAAAGCAACCCCTGTTACAAGCTAACAAAAAGAAACCCCCACAGCCACAGCACCAAGCTCTAACTTTTCCAAGTTTAAAAGTTGTCTCTCGCCACAGATTTAACTCAACTTCCTTTGTCATAACAATCACGACGCACACTAAGCCAGAATAGAGGCCCCTTGTGAACCGGATTCATCAACAGAGGACTCGACATTGGTTGCTAAAGCCCGGCGTCTCGCCTCTCCGTCCTCTTGTGATGCCGCTGCCTCTGTGTGTGCGTGTGCATGCTAATGCCGACCCGCATAAGTCTTATCAAACTCGGAGCGCTGGTTTGACTACTTGTGAACCACTTGGCCAGCGCAGACCGTCCTTCGGCCCTGTTAAACTTCAAACGACTGCTAATTTGGCTTTTTCTCAGAGGCTGTCGAATATGTTCAGAGAGACTTGAGGTCTGGCCAGAGGGGGAGTGCGTGTAGCTCATAGTAAAAAAAAAAAAAAGATGACACCAGAAAATAAATCCTGATGGTGTAATTCAAAACAAATACAACATGAACTGTGGTTGCACTAAAGTTTCGGCTGTAAATAAAGAGGAAGGAGATGATGTGGAAGCTGCCCTGATGCACGTTTATAACCAAAAAAAGCAGAAAAGAAAATGTTCGTTACCAACAGCTGATCTATGAGGTGGGAGGGAGTGATCACTCTTTACTATCTATAGTTTGGGAGTACGAGTAAGGAGGACAATGGCAGATTGATGACTTCCCAAAACTAGTTAGCATTTGCTTCAAAAAATACTTAATCATGCATCGTTTTAGAAACAAGCAGTGAGAAATACAAACGTATGTATGTTAGGACACAATGAAACCCATTTGAGATGCGGTTTACTTTGTCGACTGTAGATTTTCTATATGGACCAAGTTGTTTTGAATAACAGGGCAGTGAAGTGCAGCCATTATTCTGACTCATACATATGGTAATTGCAGGCTTCAGTTCATCCTAGAATTCATTACCAGTACTGCCTCCCTCCTACCTGGGCTGCCTGGTCAGTGAACCGCTGTATGTTTAAGCACATCTATACTGATGCAGGCCAATGCATATGATAAACTTGACTTTTGCCTTTCCTTAGAGTGCAAACAAGAGGAGAGTGCTGTGAATAAACAGCAAGATAAACAGAAACAGTGTGCCCAAAGGTCAAGCATAAAACAGACCTTATTGAGACCCTATGGCGTAGTGAACCACTTTGACTTTGAGGGAATTAATGAGACTGTGGAAAATTGTGATTTGACAGATTTTATGTAACTGCTCGCTCCACTGTTCCTCGCCGTCCTCAGCCGGAGAGAAGAGGCAACCATGACATTTGAAACAAAGGCACACTGGTCTGAATGAATGCTACTGACCAGGAATTCTATTTATACGGAGGATTTGCACTTTAATATCGCACTGATGAATCATTACAGTTTTCTCAAAACAGTGAGTCACTGGGTTTCATTACGAACACCTCCTAGCAGTTCTGGAAACAAAACAAAACATTTCTGTTGATGATTTCTGACGTGTATCCATTTCAAAACGTGGCAAATGAATACACGATTGTAGGACGTCTCTGTTGCACCGCGACCTCTGACCCGCGCTGTTCTTCTCCACTCAGCTGGACCTCAGCCAACCTTTGGAGGACCAGGGTCCCCTGGACGTCATCATCCACAAACTGACTGACCTCATCCTGGAGGCTGACCAGAATGATTCACAGGCTGTGCTGCTGGTGCAGAGAGTACAGGTATGCATCGCTCTGACACCCCTCATGTCCCACAAATATTCACAAATACATCCATCCATCCTCCACACCTTAATCCTCACTAGGATCATGGGGGGCTGGAGTCTATCCCAGCTGACTCAGGGTGAAGGCAGGTTCACCTGGACAGGTAACCAGTCTATCACAGGGCTACACTTAGAGACAGACAACCAAGCACACTCACATTCACACCTGCAGACAATTTAGAATCACCAATTAACCTCAGCATGTTTCTGGACTGTGGGAGGAAGCCGGAGAACCCGGAGAGAACCCACGCTGCACGGGGGGAACATGCAAACTCCACGCAGAAAGATCCCGGGTGTCCTCACCGGGATGCAAACCGGCGACCTTCTAGCTGTGAGGCAACGGTGCTACCCACTGAGCCACCTTGCAGCCCTAGCCCAGAACAGACCTACCTAATACTGGCTCTGAAGAGGACTTTTATAGGCCTCTGTGGCCACCTGTGCCACCTTGCAGCCCTGTAGTACAGGATATGCACCAGAATTTATTATCTCTCCAGATTAGTTTACAACTCACTTTATAGCGACCTCAGCAGTTGTTGTGTACTGACCTACATGTGGTTGTTGTCAAGCATTCAGCGTCTGCTCTGTTTTGTAATGTCGTTTATTACTTGAATAGACAGGTCCTCATTTAAATAACAACTGCATTATTCATCCATCCATCGTGATTGCACGGCTGCAGCTGTTATTGTGGTGTAGAAAATTGTCTGCTTAGCTTTTTGTGGCGTAACGTGATTCTAAAAATATTTTAACACAAAAGTTCAAAGGCTACCCAGCCCCGATCTTCATCTTCATACATCGTCAGCACATTCACTATATATGGAAGACTTCCTGACCCTCTTCAGACCCAGTTTCGTAGAGCTCTGATTGGTTTTGTCTGCAGCACAACAGCCCAGCTAGAGTCAATAAACATTGATGCGTGACAGAGTTTTACATTTACAGTTGTAAACGGCCCAGTTTAAGGAATCAGATAGTGTGTCAAGCAATCAGACAGAGGCCACAGGAACATAAAGGCATCAACAGCTATATCTGAGCACGTGGTGACTCATAAAGCCTAATTGCTGTCACCGAAAGTTCTTCAAGAGTTTTCTGGTTCTTCCTGAAGTGAGAAAAATCTCACATGGACAGCAGATCACAGTTCCAAATGTGGCACTGTGAACACACTTTAGAAAACTGGTGTTCTTCTGTGTCTGTGTATTCATTAATCTGGCAGCGCTGCAGATGGTGTGAAAATTAATTTTATTCCACCATCTCCGACTTGCTCTCTCTTTCTCTCTCTCTCTCTCTCTGAATGACTCAGAGGAGGCTGTAATCGTGATCAGCGTCACGCAATTCTGTCAACATGTTCCTGACTGCTCAATTAGGAAGGACAAACAGGATGTCAGAGTGGAGCAATCACTTAAACTGCAAAACCTGGTCAATATTAACACATGGCTTCATTCGGTACTCTTATGGTACTTTCTGGGCCGATTTCAAACACGTGCACATGCAAACATGAATTTTGCAAAACACAACATTACAAAGAATTTGCTCCAAACAACCGAGAACCCTTTGATGGTGCTCGTGTAGGACTTTCCCCTGTAAGGAGGCACAAAATGCAAATGTTCAATTTTTTATTAAGTGGTTGGTGTAAAATAGCACCACGCATATCTGGCTGTGGGTGTAATGTGCCTCAGTATCGTGGGTTA